CACAATTCTCCAGTAGAAGGAACGGGGTCTTTGGGGAGATGGCTGATTCTACAACTGAAGCGGGAAGTACATTTAGCCGGGAGCGTCTCGTAGTACCCCACACAAACAAAACAAAACCAAGCGCCCCGCTGGTGGTAGTGTTCCCAAGGTGCATAGGGGCCAACTGAGAGACCCCTCAATGGCCAAAGCTGGAAGAGTTTGAGCAACAAAGCAAATGAAGTAGTACTGGATTATAACCCAACATATGAAATAAATATTCATTCTTATATGAACAAATGATTGGATAAATTAATAAATGGAGGAGAAGAAACAAATCTCTCATGCAGAAGGATTTCAAAGAAACTATGTAGATACTCCCCCTAAAGGAGAACAGTGTAACTCCCACTTCTTAGGTGCGGGCTGCGTATCATGATGTGTCCCAAAGTGAACTGTATGGATAAGGAAGGGGATGGTGTCGCTTTACAGGTGAGACCCTTGACAAACAGGACCTCAGCCAGGTGATCAGGGCCAACAACAATACTCAGAAATCATGGTGATTGTATGTATTCTTGACATGATGTTTTGAAAATGACACTTTACCCAAAAACTCATAACCCCATGAGAATACCAGACAAATTCCAGTGGAGGGGCATCCTACAACATACCTGACCTGTGTTCAAAAATGCCAAGATCATGAAAACAAGCCAAGTCTGAGAAACTGTCGTAACCATGAGGAATGTTAGGCGGTGGGATGACCATGTGTAATGGGGGATCCTGGATGGGATCTGGAACAGAATACAACCTTAGGTGAAAGATGAGAAATCTGAATAAATTATGCACTTCAGTTGATTATAATGTATCAGTATTGATCCATGAACTGTAACAAATATACCTTACTAATGTGAGATGTTAATAGGGAAATTGGTATTATTCCTTCTTGAAGTATTTAGTATAATTCACAATGAAGCCACCTGAGCCAGGAGGCTTTTTCCTTTCCTTAAAAAAATCAATTTCTTTAAGAAGTGTAATACTAATGAGCTACTCCATATCATCAACATTCTTGGCACAGTGAGCAGAGAGTTATGTGTAATATTCTCCGACATCATTATAGCTCATGTTGGTGTCGTCTGTAATGGTGCTTCCTCTCTCATTCCTAAAATTTGTAGTTTTGGTCTTCTCTCTTTTTTTCCTGCTCAATCTGGTTACAGGTCAATCAATTTCACTGGTTTTGTCAAACCATGGGCTATTGGCTTCATTGCTTTTGTTTATTTATCTGTTTTTAATGTCACTAAGTACTGCTTTTATTTCCTTTCTTCTGCTTGTATTGGGTTTGTTTTGCTTTGTTTTTTTTGTTTCTTAAGGTAAAAGCTTATATCACTGATCTGAGACCCCTTTTCTAACACATGGCTTCAATACCATAAACCTCACTCAAAGCACTGCTTTTAGTACAAAGCACAAAGTTTGATTAGGTTGTGTCTCCATTTTTTACTCTGAAACTTTTCATCTGAGAGCCACACATTAGAATCACCTGCAGAGCTTTGAAAAATGTCAATGTTCACCCCACCCAAGGCCACGTGAGTCAGAAAACATGGTGGTGGGGTCTGGGCATTGCTTTGTTTCGATAGCTTCCCAAAGTGAGTCCACCCAGGATCAAGAATTCCTGCTGCGACCTCACTGAAAGTAATTCATTCGCAAACTTGTGTGCAGATGCTGATCTGGATGCTTTTGAAAAATGCTTATTCTTACGTGCACCCCTAGAGATTTTGGCTCAGCAAGTCTACATGATGGTCAGTGGAAACCGAATTTTTCACAAATGTAATGATGATGAATGTGGGCTTCAGACTAACCCGTGGGAAAATCTGCATTAAAAAAAATCCATAACATAAGAAATGAGCCCCTGCTGTGGTAGCAGCTGTTTGCATTTCTGAGTATGGTTGGCACCATTGAAGTGGGTGTCCCCCAAACCTGTGCTTTCACGGAACAAGTTTGTGGTAGCAAAGAGGTGCTCCTTGCTGGGAATGCCTGAGATGACTTCATTACTGCCACTGCTGTCCTCGGCATCACTCTTCAAGGCCACGTAGAATTACCTTCATAGATTTCAGGTCTTTGCTCATGCAGGTGGCTCTGTCTGAATGCCCCCTGCCACCACCCTCACCTTTCCCTGTTCACCTAGCTGACTCCCTGCTGCCACTTCGGGTGGGAAGATGTCTCTGAGCTTCCTCCACTCCAGCAGCCTCAGACTTCTCCAGCCCAGATCAGCTGCCTCACCCTCTGGGAGGGGCCGCAGGGCACCTCCGAATATTCACCTGGGGTTGATCACCTACCTACTCATCTGTATTCCCCTTGGGACCCCTTGAGGACAAGTTTAGTCTTCTTTATCTTCAAGGGGGCTAGCCTAGGGTCTGGCCCATGATGGACCCTCAGGAAATGTGTGCTTAGCTGATCTAAACTGAGCACTCTTCAAATAGCAGACATCCCTCTGTTTTAGATTTCCTGTTGGTTTCAGTGGAGGCTGAGGTCAGGGTAGTGACTTCCTGTGGGTTTGGTATTGACAATTCCACTTTCTGGAGCCTAATCCATGCATGTGTGGCTGAAGCGCGTGGAAGAAGCCCAAGCTGTCTCTGCAAACAAGTCTCCAGCCTAGGGCCTGGCAAGTGATAACTGTTCAGAAATATTATTTGATTGAATGAGATAAAGGTGCAGAGAAGGAAAAGGCCAAAAACAGTGTTCAGAAGGCCACAAAGTCATAAATCAAAGGAGAAAAAAAAGCCACTTAACTTATTGCTTATTAGATTCTAATCAGTCTGAAATCTCCAAATCTATATCCAGGCTTTTTAAGTAGAACAGACTTATAACCTGGGAGGGACTTACTTTAGTTTCCCCAGAAAGCAAGATAAATGAGAGTATTTTTCTGAACATTCCACTTAATGGGTTAATGTAATGAGTGTTGGTAGGTCAAATAGCGCAGTTGTGTAAACAAGTGTTTAAACTGCTGCCAAGGAAGATGCTTAAGCTCCTCAAAGGGGACTTAGCTGTGAGGCCCATTAGAAACATCCATTTACAAGGAGTCAGGTTGATAAATGTTGCACGTGTTCCTCAGTGTACAATCCCTGTTCCAGGACACAAGTTTGGCACAGCGTGACAGAGTTTGCAAGAGGCACGCGTAATGAATAAAATTGCTTCTCTTTAAAAAAATAGACATGGTTACACATTTCTCAGGGTCATTCAAAGTAGAGACAGTTTTTTTTCCATATAGAAATAAGTGCACAAGTTATTTTTTTTAACTTGAAAAATGAAGCAGTATCCTTTTTGGTGTAATATCATTTAAAGAGTGGGTACAGGTATCCCTGCTTTTCAAAAGTTTGTGCTGTGTTGCCTCTCTCCAAGGACCTAGTGAGTACAGGAGCTCCTCCGGGTCACATGGTTTCCTTGTAATTCTGATGAGCTGCTGTAGGAACTGAACTCTTTTCAAAAAAATATATTTTATTGATTATGCCATTACAGTTGTTCTATTCCCCCCTTCATTCCCCTCCACCCTGCACACCCCTCCCCCGCCATTCCCCCCCTTTAGTTTATGACCACGTGTCTCAGTTCTTTAGATTCTATATTTCCCATACTAATCTTGCCCTCCCCCTATCTATTTTCTACCTACCATCTATACTACTTATTTTCTGTACCTTCTCCCCCCTTCTCCTTCTCCCACTCCCCTGTTGCTAACCCTCCATGTGATCTTCATTTCTAAGGCTCAGCTCCTCATACGTAACTGGCAAGAACAGATCAAAACATGGCTCAAGAACAACTCAGAGCTCCAGAGCTGATAAATCTAAGTGACAAAGAAATAGCCAAACTTTCAGATGCACAGTTCAAAACACTGGTGATCAGGATGCTCACAGAACTGGTTGATTTTAGTCACAAATTAGAGGAACAGATGAAGGCTAAACTAATTGAAATGAATGGAAATGCACAGGAAACCAATAGTAATGGAAAGGAAACTGGGACTCAAATCAAAAGAGTAGATCAGAAAGTGAACTCTTGTTTAATCAATTACTCTACAGTAAAATCAGTTTCATCATGCATTGTTTTGCTTAAAGTCACAGAACCTAGCAATGACATTAAGTGAGGATTGACTGTACATTTTTTCTTAGTGAAAAGAAAATCCAAACGGAATTTTTTTTGTTTTAATTGTTACTTTTATTTTTAAATATATTTTATTGATTATGCCATTACAGTTGTTCTATTCCCCCCTTCATTCCCCTCCACCCTGCATACTCCTCCCCCACCACTCCCCCCCTTTAGTTTATGACCACATGACTCAAGTTCTTTAGATTCTGTATTTCCCATACTATTCTGGCCCTCCCCCTATCTATTTTCTACCTACTGTGTGTCAGTCACAGTTCTAGAATCTGAATGATGATCTAACAAGACTTCCCAGAACAGACTATGGTAAAATAGAAGGAACTCTGAGTAAGGAAACCAGGTTTTTCAGTTCTGTGCGTGCCTTGGGTAATTGCTTGCCCTCTCTGGGCTCTAGCTTCTATGTACGTACAATGAGGGGGATGAGACTGGACCACAGGAGCTCCAAAGTTCCATCCACCTGTCATTAAGGTAGCATCACGCAAGTGAAAAATGAAAATGTGCATCGGTAATTTCGATGTGGGAGGAGTTTCATATCTTTCTTCTTAATTAAAAAAATTTAAAATTTTATTGTTGTCCAAGTATCTTAGAGTTTAATATGGCAGTAGGCTGAAGAAACGGCTTCTGTGTAGAATAGACAGTGTTCATACTTCCTCTCGAAGGGTGTGTGGCAAATGGGGTGGAGGGTGAGCTGAAGGCATCTAAGAAAGTTGCGGGTAAAGACTGGATTGCTTCTCTAATGTCTCTGTCCTACCACCAGGAGGGACTGCAGTCAAGATAAGCACAAGGGCTGAAGCCAGGCTTGATGCTGGCTGCATGGCATGATGGGACATGCAATGCTTGGGATACACCTAGTTCTGCATTTGTTGTTTCTATGTCTCACTCAGGTCTTAGCTTCTAGCGCAGCTTCTAACAATTTCAAATGGAGAGTGATGCATGAATTTGTAAGATAAGACACGCAAGACCCTTCAAGAAACGTTTGATACTGAGTACATTCTACAAGGTCAGTTTCTTTTCTTGCTACTGTAAAAGCACTGTGATCGGGGACCTTCTATTGCAGGGCCAAACTATGAACACAGAGAGATTCCTTCAGGGTTACTCTCTTACAGAGATAATAAGGGCTTTTATGTTCCTCTCCTTAGACTAAAGTATGTGTTCTCTTTTACCAGAATTTCCAAGTACTCCCTCCACCCAAGTACTCCTTTGTCAGCACAGTGTCCACCTGCTGTGGGAGTTTTTCTTCTGAAGCACAGTTCCAACCATATCAGTCCTCTGCGCAAACCTGACGATGGCTGCCCATTGCTCACAGAGTAACGTCCCATCCCCTGAGCTTGCCCTCTGAGCTCACCGTGATCTGGATCAGGAATGCCTGTCCAGCCTCATCTCATATCAGGTCACCCCACGTACATTCCCCTCTGTGTGGGGGGTTCCCACACCTGCATGTGCTTCTGAATCACCCGGAGGGCTTGTTAAAACACGTGTCTGGGCCTCCAGCCCAGCTTCTCTGATTCTGGGAGGCTGAGAAGGGTCGTTGAGATTCTGCATTTCTAACAAGTCCCCAGGTGATGCTGATACTGTCTGGGGACCACACATTAAGAGCCATTGCTCCAGCCACACAAGTGCTGGTTCTCTGGAGACATAGTGGGTATGTATTTTTATGTTTTGGGCATTTTTTTTATGTTTTTCATCAGGCTCTTGCTCTTGGTACACTCTCATTCATTTTCAAGCTAATTTTACTTTCTAAGGAACTTGTCTCTCCTGTGTATTTCGACAACGTGCCACTGGTCTTCCAATGTAGTACTTTTTCTATTCTACTCTGTACTAGAGCTAATTGAGTGTTTGCCTTTCTTTCATTCAAATGCCAGTCCCTTGAAAGAAGGGACCATATTTCATTAACCTTTGAATTCTCAAAAGGCTTAAACATCATCGTGGTGCTGAGAGGCATCCCTGGTAATTACACATTTCCTTATTCTTCTTCCTCTACTTCTTTTAGCCTCCTCTGCCGCAGGATTCTCAAGGGTGGCAGCCATCCTCTGTCTGAGGTTGAAGGATTCATACCATTTAAGTGTCTGAACTCATCATGAATTTCATCAGCAGTGTTACAAAGACATTCACCAAGGTGAGAAAGCAACCAACCTAAAATGTTGGCCCACGGTTTTGGAGCTACCTGCACTATGAAGTTGTTAAACTCCTTTGCAGTAAGTTAAGCTGTCATGGGGAACACTGAACTCACCTCCGATCAAATGAAGTATTTGAATTATTTTTTAAATGTAAAGTGCCAGAAGCGATTTTGTTCTCTGTGGATCACTCTTTCCTATACTGAATGCGTAGGAAAGAAGCAGGGGAATTAATAATGAAGCCAGAGTCAGTGTACAGTCTGGAGAAGGTTTTGTTCAAAGTAAATTTCAGGGAATGCAAAATAATCAATCTCCTTAAAAGACCCTGTCAGTTTGCAAAGTGCACAGAGTGAACCCAGTTCTCCCGCATGAGTCCCTGCTGGCTGGTGGGGAGGGGGCGGCCATTTAGCCTCTCCCAGCCCCAGCTCTCCTTCCTGGGACTTTCTCCTCAGCACCAGGTCCCACACCTGCCTCTCCCGGTGGGTTCCCTCTGACCCTATGACTTCTTCTGTCGCCTGCATCCAGTCTACATCTTTCTTTTAGTTCTCCCTAGCTGTGTCACAGGGTCTCAGATTCAATATGCCCCTAAATCAAACTATCATTTCCCTGGTTCTCCTGCCATTGGATTCTCAAAAGAATGCCCTCAAAAGAGGGCATTGATTGCAGAGACCATAGAACTGGTATAACTACCATGGAAATCTATGAAAACTGAACAAATGCATAGCACATGTCCCCAACATTCCACTCCTAGGTAGATTGCTAACAGGAAGATGCTTGCATATATTCACTAGAAGATACATACAAGAATATTTACAACGGCTCTACTTACAGTATCCCAAACTAGAAACTATACAAGTAGTTTGGATAGTCTCTGATAGTAGAAACTATCCATTGACTTATTCATTTGGCTTATTCATTTGATAAAATACTGTGCACCAAGAACAACAAACAGGTTGTGGAACATGGAAGCGAGAATGAGTCATACCAACACTATGTGGGCCAGAAGAAGCCAGAGACAGAAGAATGCCCCATGCATGCTTCCATTGAATGAAAGCTCAGAAGCAAAGTGCATTCATGTTGTGGGCAGCCAGGGGCGTGGGTCCCCCTGGGAGAACGAGACAGGAAGGGACAGGAGGGGCTCAGGGTCACTGCGGAGCTTCTTCTCCGTGATCCGGATCCTGGTTTCCACGGTGGTGTCCAGTTTGTGAAAATTCCTTGAGCTGTATCCTTAAGAGCCAGCAGTTTCTCTTAGCGCTATTTTTCAATGTATATCATACTTCAATAAAATTTATTAAAAAATAAATAAAAGAACAAGGGCCACTGATCCGAGCCTCTTTTCAGCTGAGAGTTTGAGCCTCAGTTAAGGTTTCTGTCATTTTTTTTTACCTTAGGACTTTGTGTCTTATTTCTTCCTCGTTGGCCAAAAAATAGAAGAAACAACCAATAGAATGAGAAGATATACTGTAAGGTGCAGATTCTGTGCAAGGGCTAATCAAAGTGATGTTTCCCAACATCCCTTTGGGTGTTCTGGTCTCCACGGTTGCTCCTCCTCAGTCCCCAGGGACCTGCCGTCCCTGGGGCACAGGCCTCCATCTCCATCTCAGCCCTCCAAGCGTTTGCCGGTGGAAGCTCTGTTGCCTGAGTAGCTTTTGGACCTAGATTCTCCATCCAACAGACTGCAGAGGATGTTTATGTGTGTGCGTGTGTGTGCGTGTGCACACACATGTGCATGAATCAACTTTACAGTTTCTAGGTAAATGGAATTTTCAAAGCTCATGTTGGTCGCAGACCTGGATTATATCAAAAAGTGAGACAGATTCATTATTCACTGAGTTGCAGCCCTGATGTTGCAGTTAACAGAGCAACCCTGAAATCTCAGCTGCTGAACAGGTAAGACCTAAACTCTCAATATTTCAACTGGATAGATGTATACTTCTAGCCTCTGTGAAGTCTAACAGTAACAGGGAGGTGGGCTCGGGGAGAGAGGGCTCTGGTCCTTGTGGTCATCCAGGATTATTGAGGTGCTGGTGTCTTCAACATGTGGCTTCCAAGGTCACCTTGGACACTGACATGCAACGGTCAGATGCAGAAAATGAGAGGGGAGGGTTGTGTAGTTTTCTGGGTCAATCCTGGCAGTGAAAGCCTCCACGTCTCTCCACTTTTCATTGGCCAGACCTCGTCATATGACCACACTAAACATCAAGTGGGGGATTTTAAAGTGCGGTCCAGCTGTGAGCATGGAGGAAGAAAAGCTAATTTGATGAATACATAGCCTGACTCTGCAATGCGTGGATTTAGCTGCAAGCAGCGAAAACTGCAATGAAGGTGGAAGGTGAGTGGAAAAGCAAAGGTGATCCTCCGTTGGCTGGAATAAGTCACAGGGAAGGTACCAGGAGGGAAGGTTTTCTGCCGAGAGGGCTGAAGGGAAATGGAAGCCTTCTTGTAACTCAGAATGGATGTTTTAAATTAAACAAATATATTAGTGTCATGGACTGAAATGGGAGCACTGGATAAGGGGCAAGCATGTTTATACCTAGGGGAGTAAATAGGAGAGGAAGTCCAACTTTTTAAATTGTTCTCCCACTCCAACCTTCCCCGTGTCCTGTATCCCCCCTCATTTGCAGAGTCACCTGAGTCTGATACTGTGAGCAGTTTTTCCATCTATATTTATCCAAATTTTTTATCAAGTTTTGTCAGGTTTGCATCCTAAATTTTATTCACGTCATTGTATCATTTCATTTCTGCTAATACCGTCCCATTGCTGGATCTGTTTGGCTCTCTAGTGAGTTATTGCCATAAATCTCTAACAGAGCTTCTCACCTACAATCCCTTTACTTTGCTTGAGGCTCCACACATTGTCAAAATAATCTCCGAGTGTCATTATTCAAGCATTTCAATGGCTCTCCACTGCCTGCCAAATTAAAATGCAAGTTTCTTAGTTTAACATTCACAGCATTTCTCAATCTAGTCCCCAAATGACCTGTCCACCCTTATTCTCCGGCAATTTAAAACCCCTGGAAACGCTCGTGTTCCAAAACAATCTCCAAAACTCCTTGTTACTCTAGACACTGCTCAAGTCCATTCCACGGGCTTCCAAGCAGCCTTTTTTGGGCTCCAATGTGGTGAGCTCCTAATCAATAATAATACCTGGTTCATATAACACCTCTTTGCGCAGACTCCCAGAACTCCACCAGGAAGGGCTCATTTCAAATATTAATATTTATCTCTATTCTAGCACTTAACACTTTACCCTGCACTTTCTTGTTATCTACCTCTCTGGCTAGACTGTCCTGGGAGGTGCTGTAGTGCAGTAGAGAAAGCGAGAAGTTAGGAGGCAAATTAGACTTGGACTTGAATCCCACCTCTCCATACTACTACTTGTGTTGCCTCACATTGCCCAAGCTCTCTGAACTGCAGGCTCCTCTTCTGTGCGATGGGGATAGTAATGTTGCCACATGAGGTTGTTATGGTGACCATAAATGTGCACGTATCTAATATGGGACCTGACACTAGTGCATTTCTCCTTCTTTCCCTCCTCTTTCTCCTATGCTTCTTCCTTTCTTTCCTCCCCCGACCCCTTGTATTTTGTCTTATAAGTAATAAAAGACATCTTAAATATTCAGTAAAGATTTGTTTAATGAATGAACCAGAAAGCTCAGCAGCCTGAGACTATGAATTTTGTTTCACAATTCATGTTTGAACTAATTTTTGCATGTGATATGAGATCTAGATCAGGAGTAACTTTTCTTTTGTATACGCAAAGCCAGGGTTTCCTGCATTATTTATTGAAAAGTCCAAACTTTTTTGCACCCGGTTGACTTTGTCGAAATCAATGATCTATATAGGCGTGGGTTAACCTCTGGGCTCTGTTCCATTGTACTGATCTATCTGTCTGTCCTTAAGCCCAAAGCAGCATTGTTTTGATCGTCGTAAGACCTCTTTGGAGGTCTGAATTCCAGCTGCACAGGCCTCTTCTGACTCCCAGACCAGTCTTCCCTTCTTAAGGAAACAGTCCTGTGCCTCTAGAGATCCCTCTCCTGACAGCAGCCTGGGAATCTTCTCCAGATCTTCGCTGAACCATTGCAGTGCTCACCTTGTCTGTTTCCTCTGTCTCGGGAATCACTCTCCTTTATTGCCTGATTTCCATGGTCTAAAACCTGTTCCATATAATTTGTCCATGTTTTAATTGTTTCACATTGGAAGGGAAAGCCTATCTCATTACTCTATTTTGGCCAGAGGCACACGTCTGTATAGATTTTCTTTAAGTATGTGGGTTTTTTAGAATTTATTTTACTGGTTGCTTTAGATAACATTGACCTTTATATTGTCATGGTTAACTTTCAAATAAAATTATGGTTTTTTGCTGAATGCTTTAAAAAACCTACTACTATATATTTCCACTCACTCTTCTGCTCTTTGTGTTCAAATTATCTTACAGATTTTCTCTGTATATGTTACACTACAGTATCTTGCCATTATTTATATTTTAAACTGTGAATAGCCTATTTCAAGATGCTAACAAAAATGACTTATATATACCCTTTTTGTGCTCATTATTTTTTCCTACAGGCATGGAATTTGTGTTCATTTTCTATCAATGTGAAGGAAACTTATCTTTTTTTTTAAAGATTTTATTTATTTATCTTTAGAGAGGAAGAGAAGGAGAGAAATATCAATGTATGGCTGCCTCTCATGAGTCCCCTGCTGGGAACTGGCCTGCAACCCAGGCATATGCCCTGACTGGGAATCAAACTGTGATTGTGTGGTTCGCGGGCCTGCACTCAATCCACTGAGCTACACCAGCCAGGGCAGGAAACTTATCTTTTTGTATAAGATTAATTCTTTTTAACTTTGTGTGAGTAAAAATATATATTATTTGCCTTCATTTTTGAAAAATATTCTCATTAGATATGGAATACTAGATTGACAGGGTTTTTTCAATGCTTCAAAATGACCATTTCACTGTATTTCAGC